TTCTTTTCTCAATTAAAACAATACCTATCCAAAACATTTTTTTCATAGAATACATTATGAAAATCATTTAATACTTACTTTATTTAAAAACTAGTACTCCATAATGCGTTATAGTTATACATTAATATTTTCTTTAAAATTCATATTTCACACAATTTAATGTGCAAACTTATAGTCTCTGCATCTTTTCATTTGTATCTGATACTCAAACTACTGTCGAATCCATCAAAATGACTTGGTCAATATTGGTAAGTTGCCTTTTTGAAAAGTTGTATTATTGCTAACTTAGCAGTTCTTTAACTTACCATTATAATAACACAGTATTACTTATTGTGTATTTGTGTTGTTATATTATATTCATGTTTTAAATAATGCTACAAAACTTCATGAGTAGGACATATGGATTTCTGAAAATATAGAACAATAATTTTATGCCATGGCAAGCACTAGATACCTAAAGTGGTGGTTAGTGGGTCACATTTACACAGACCAATTTACGCTACTGCTATAGTCAATAGAGGTTCTCAMTCGCACATAAGGTTTTGAGCAATAAAGAAACTAACTTTTGAACAAGAGTGTCAAGAAAAAGCAGATGAAACAAATGTTACAGTTAACAATGGTATAAGTTATGACTTATGTTGGCTTATATGATTTTTATACTGTGCATATCTTTAGAGTCGAGTTAATAGCTACTTTGTCTTTTGAAACTCATATCAGGATTTTATTAAAAAGGTATTTTCTTAACTGTGAACCCGTAGAAATCGGTTAGAGTTAATAAGATAAAAGGTATACCCAAGTGACAACTCAAACAAAAATAATTCTTAACACCATGGGCCCTGAGCTTTTAAGCGATCCTAAGCTTTAATATTTTATTAATATAAATAATAATGATGTACTTATTATAGGAAAATACTTGTATTATATTCATTGAATATTAAATGGTTAGTACCATATTAATAAATAATAATAACATATGGCATGACTAAACATTAGTATTATAATTGCATGAAAAATAATAATAAACTGGATATATTTTATGAACTTGAACTATTATAATCACTAAATATTGAATAAATACTAAATCATATTACATAACTATAAATACTTATGATCTACAAAATATATATTAGACATACATTTTTGATAATTTATTTCTTACATACTATTGATAATTAGTTCATAGTTTTTATTTTTATTTTTTTAGTTAATGTTCTTAATACCCAAGTAATAATTAAAATAAGTATTAACTTCTTACAATTACAAAATACAAAATGTATTAATGTATATTGCTATTGTTTGCAATATAACTTTTGGCACATAATTTTACTTTTACATACAGTAAAATGTCATATTTAAGTTAATGATTAAAAATGTATTTACTTATCATTATTATTAGGTATAAAACTTTGTGTACAATCTTAAAATCAAGTACAATAAGAATTACAACAAAATATATATTTAACGAGAGGGTGTTGTTACTAGGAATAAACTTATTGAAAAGACAAGTGTTATTATTATGCCTGGTAATTCATTTTTTTCTCAATTCATATTTATTTCTAATAAGTTATGAGAATTTGATATAGTTAAAAGAACTTTGCTTTAAAAATATTTATTACCTTTTATAATGATTAATAACACTAACAAATATTAAACAATTAAATACAACAATATGTCTATTTTAAATAAATAAAATTCATCATATTATCACACTTAAAAGTTAAAATTAAAAATAATGAATCATATTTATCACAAATATGTTTTTTACTTAGGGATTCAATTAATTTTTTATAAATAATTTATTTATTTGTTATGAAAATAAATAACAAGTATTTGAAATGTATGGTATTTTTATTCATATATGGGTACTTGAAAATTGAATATTATTTGGACAAAATATACAAAATTTAATATTATAATAAAATAAGCACAAACTGCAAGTATATTTTAGGAAAGTTTTACTCAAATTTTGGTTTTTATAACTCAAATTTATTTTTATTTGAAAGCATCTTTTTTTTATTGGATAACAAAAATATGTTGAGTGAATATATAAAACTTAATAAAAAAAAATTATTTTAAATAAATATTTTTTTATTAGTAAAAAAATCATCAATAATTAAAAACCATTAATATGCTGATCTCAATGTTTGATTAAAATATTAAACTCGTAATGTAGGTAAACAAATGTAATAGTGTCTGATAATATTAAGGAGTACTCACTCCATAATCATGTCTAGTTCTTTTGATACCTGAATTAGAAGTACATTTAAACAAATTTCTATTGTTTAATTGACTTGTTCGAACAAAATCAATAACTGTATAATCTGGAATTTCTTTTTTGGGAGGAAGTGGTGGCAACTCATTTTTACTGTTTTTAGGTTTAAAAACAGCAATTTCAACTTCAGTATAAGTTACTTCTTCCTTAGGAGATACAAAAGAGTTACCATAATCATTATTATCCACCAACTCATCATTATTTTTGTTAACGTTCAGCATATTTTCATAAATAGCACAGTATGCATTTTCAGGATTTAGCTCAAGGTATGGAGATTCATCGTTTGACTCATCGCGGTTTCTTTGTCCACTAAATCTGACCTCATCATAAACATCTTCTTCATATTGATCTGTTTTTGGACGTGATAAGCCAGAATAGAAATGCACTTCAGAAGACATATCTTCAGCCATGTTTTTCTGATTTGAAATCTAAAATAAAAATGTTTTCTTCATTAAAATTTATCAGTAGATGTGACATATAYCTATTTATTCTTTTTAATAAGGAAAGAAGTTTAATAATTTGTATTAGGTTTGTATAAAAAACGATTGTAATGCCAAACATTGACATCTTTAATTTGTTCGTTATATCGAATTAAATTGATTTCCACTTAAAAATCACCATTGCACAATAATATCATTCATATAAAACTGAATATCACAAACTTTTTTCTATTCCGCTTGAGATTTGACATTATGAGATTACTGTAGTGCTTTTATTTTAACAATTTTAAATTTGTAAATTATAATTTTTCATATGTACCCGCTGAACCTAACCGAATATTATAATTTATACATATTAAGTATAGTAAATATTTAAGGAGTCTAGTGCTGATTAKTCAAACATTTTAGAAAATTAATACATATTTTATTTATTAATACAGCAAATGACAAACTTTTTTATCAATATTTTCTTATGGGTCCCGAGAAATATTTAATACTTACYTATTATGTTTTATTTCATTATTTGTCTTTATTTTTGTTCTATGAAGCTTTATTATTTAAAATTTAAATCTACAAAATGAGAATAAAACTAGTAAAGTTTATTGAAAAATAACAAAAACGTAGCTCTGAGGATCAATTGTGGAGTACAGTTCAGGAACCGTTGTATTTGTAGTTATAATAAAATATTAGTATCTATTCTACATTATCCCAAGGTAAACCCTTACCTACTTTCCCTTCCCGAAAAAGGCATCCCTATTGTACAAGCAGTGCATGGGAATGTTTAGGTAAGTATATGGTATATAGTGTATACCCTAGCATAGTAGCTCCAGTTTACTGATTTAGGGATTTAGTATATTATACCATATACAATTATTAGGTAGAAAATATGAAGGTATACGCACATAATCTAAACTAACCTGTAGTTTCCGTTTGATAGTATTGAAAATTTTATCAGCATCTTTGCTTCTAAATGCAAATATTCCTTGACCGTAGGGAGACAAACGACCAGCCTCGAAGCAAAACATAAAATCCTCATATCCGTAGCGTCTAATTGTGCTCAGTGGACATAAAATGCTTGATTTTTCACCTGTATAATGCATTATCAAATCGGTGTCAGTGATTTCAATCTGACMATGATTTATTTCATTACCACTGTAATCTATATTTGTAACCTGTAAGATATTATTGTTCAACAGTTATTCATTTTCATAAAAATATTCGATTATTTGTGTGTAGGTGACACGCCAAAAAAATGATATAAAAATAAACTAATGAAATTATTATACCAATAATTGTCAATACTCACTTTGAATATAGTCGAAGTACTGTCGGTCGAACCAACTTTCCTCTTGCTGGATACACAACCCATTTTTATATGCTTAGGTGTATAATAACCTAATATATATAAAAAAAATAAARAATATGATGTACCGATATATTGTGAGAATATCGACGGAGGGTCTGTAATGGATGGATAGACGATCAGTAACTGAAAAACCAAATTCAGTGTAGTTGRAAACGGGACCGTATGGAGGATCAAAGTACCGAACGGAGCGCGGGATCGCTCGATAGTGAAATACTACTGTAGCAGCAGCTGTGAGATGGTTACACACCGAGAACTGGAAGGTCAACATCTGAGTTCAGGCAGGGTGCGCTGGGGGTTATCATTTTAGTCCTCACTCCTCACAATGTTTTTATGTTTAATCTTATTGACCGCCAGATAAACGGACGATCGTCTAAAATACATTTGTATTCTATTTTGCATTTGTGTGTATAATAATAATATAAATAACACACTAACACAGTAAATAATGAATTATAAAAACACGGGTAACTTCTATATGTTGATGTGTACCGTATACCTACGCATTATAACAATAATAATAATAAAAAAAAAAAACCCCCAATAAGCACTGTATACCTACGACAATATATATAGGTACTATACTTAAGTATAAGTGTATAACGTACATGCACCTTATTGGAAGGTTGAGTTGCAGGTAGATTAAACCGATATTAAATTTTTGGTAGATGTGCTTGTATATCTTCTTTTGTTGAGGGCTGCGGACACGGTCCGAATGCTAAAGTGGTGAGCAAGGATCGGTTTTGTATCTAAAACGATTATATTATTGTCATGTCCTGTGTTTGCCCATACACGGTTAGATAGCAGGTATCATGAATAACACACAGTCCACACTTCCCTATGCACAGCGGGTGTGCGACCCAAAGGACACTGCTCCGCACACGAGTTTGTCCAAAAATACTTAGGATCAATTGTTTACCCCATAACAATTGCAGTATACGATCTCTAAACAATAATATCTGTTCCCCGAGTATGACACTTCAACCGCATATCGTCTGGCCTGTTGTATATTTAACAATAAATTTTGTTGAAATCGATCCCAAACTTAACACAACGGCCGACATTAACATATTTACCCAAAGCAATWTTTTGAAACAGTTTTATGATAAACTATTTGGTAYAGTCATTACACCCATTACAACTATAGCCATTGCTTTTACGATGTGTTTTCTTTTTTTCATAAGTTATAACTTACAATTTCTTTTGTTTGGATAAAGTGGGTACCTGGTGTACCTACCTACCCACCAATTAACAATGGCCGTATGTCAATTTCGCCTGCACCATACATTAAATAAGAATTTAATTTTTCTCTTTCCTCCTTTTCAATACTACCTAGCTGTTTTAAAAAATGTTTTCGTGTTTTCATTTTATTATTCTAAAAATAACGCTGAAATTCTAAATTCAAAATTTAATGACTATAAGACTACCGATTAGTATTTAGATAGATAACTTTATTTATCTCTTATTATAATTACCAGCAACGACACAATATATATATATATATTAGTTTCAAAATTCTCTACACAAAAGATTGAATAATTATTATTGATAAAATTGTAATTAGGGAGAATAATAAGAAAAACATCACTCTTAGATTTCTTGTAATTAATATATTAAAGTATGTTATTATTATTATAGTGATGCGTTATTATTCGTTGATTGRCGTTCATTATAGATAAATAGTGAATATTTATTGAAAAGTTATCATTATAATAATAATTTACTAATTTAATATTAATATTTGATGCAATTATTATTACTAGAAGAAAACTTATCAAAAACTCGAGAGTTATGTAACACCTAAAATTGTCTACTGAACAATAAAATAAATTTTAATTTTATTGTAGAGAGTTTTACAAKTAATGAAGTACTAAAATAGCTATTTATTAATTTTTAATCATAATGAATACTAAAATAGTTCTTTTTTACTTAGGATAGGGTAATATTTTAAGCACGACTTCCCTTTTTATGCTCAAGCTATATCATACATTTTAATTCTATTTTTTTGAAATTTTTAACTCAATCTGAAGACCATATTTTCGAATATTTATAAGAATTGTACCTAGGTTCCTATACTATATAAATAATATATATACCTAATTCAGTACAATAAAAGACTTTAAATAATGTACTTTG